TTTCATCCTTTACGTGGCTGTATAATATTCCATGGAGTGTATATAGCACATCATCCTGACCCAACTGTCCATGGGTGGACAGTTGGCTGCTTCCATGCCTAGCTCTGGTAAATATGTTGCTGTGAACACTGCACAACTTACAGGTTTTTGTGATGGCTTCTTCATATTCTGTGGCTATATGGCCAAGAGTGAGATGTCTGAGTCATACGATATTTCCATTTTTAATTTTTTAAGGTAAATTAAATTGCTTCCCATAATAGTTGTACCAGTTCGCGTTCCCACTTTTTTCTCCACATCTTCTCGTGCCATTCTCATTGGCGTGAGATAACTCATGTGTGGTTTTAATCTACATTTCTCTTAATATAAAGTTATGACAAATATTTTTCCATGTTTTTTCAGCCTTCTGGTGAATTGTCTGTTCATATCTGCTGCTCATTTATTAGTTGGGTCATTTGTTTTTTTATTGTGGAATTGTATGAGGTTTTTTAATATACCCTAGATGTTAATCTCAGCAATTATATATTATAAAATTATTTTCTCCCATTCAATAGAGTGGTTTTTTAATTGTCCTGTACTTTCTTTTGCTGTGCATAGGTTTTTTAACTTGAGGTAATTCCACTTGTGTTTGTTTTTAAATCTTAATCCCTTTGGGGATAAAGACCCAAAAAATATCTTTATTGTTGATATCATGGAATGATTTGCCAATGTTTTCTTCTATGCATTTTGTTGTTGAGGTCTTTTATTTTAAATCTTGATCTTCCAGTTTTCCCAGCACGGTTTGTTATAGAGACTGTCCTGGCCCCATTTTATGTTCATAGCTGCTTTATCATTGAGTAGGTGCTGGGATATACATGGATTTATTTCTGGGATTCTGATTCTGTTTCACTGACATGTATGTTTTTTTTTTAAAGATTTATTTATTTATTTATTTATTTATTTATTTATTTATTTATACAAGCACTGGGTACAGTCAGAAGTGCGGGAGGGTGAGAGAATTCACCAGAGCCAGAGCGGGGAGCAGAGCAGGCAGAAGGACCGAGTACACTGCTGAGGGGAGCAGCGGGCGGCAGGAGAGATCTGCGTGCCATGTGGGACCCTCCTCCGGTGGCCGGGGAGCAGCCGGGGATCGAACCAGCGCTGCAGAGGCCGTGGTTCAACCGGCGCTGCTCAACCGCTGCACCGCCGGGGAGGCCCTGACATGTATGTTTTTGTGCCAGTATCACGCCGGTTTTAGTGCTGTTGTCTTATAGTAAAGTTTGATAACATGATAAACTGTTTTTCTCCTTTTTTTCTCAGGGTTACCTTTGGAGTTCAAATCCTTTTGTGGGTCCACATACATTTCGATGTTTTTTTTTTTGAAAAAATGTTACTGATATTTCAATGGGGACCGAATTAAAATTTGTCTATCATTTTGTTTCTCCTCCCCACCCATGAGCATGAGATTATCTATTTCCTTATGTTGCTATGTAAGTCCTCTAGTCCTCTTCTGCCTTATAGTTCTAATTATACTGGTCTTCCACCTCCTTTGTTAGGTTTATTGAGGTATTTGAAACAATATCTCTTGCTTCTTAATAGTTGTTTGTACATGGAAAGGCTGTGGATTTCTGTATGTTGGTTTTGTAACCTGCCTCTACTAAAAGTCTTTAGGATATCCTATCTGTAATATAATATCGTTTGGGAATAGTAATAGTTTCACTTCTTTTCCAACTTGAATTCTCTTTGTTTCTTGTTTGTCTGCTAGTACTAGAGCTTTTGGTAAGAGCGAAGTTAAACAGACGTAGTGACAATGGGCATCTTTGTCTTGCTCCTCCTCATCTTAACAGGGAAGATTTCAGATTTGCACAGTTGAGTATAATATCATGTGTTGGCTTGTGATAGACAGGAACAGAAGGAACCTACCTTCTATCCCCATCTTGTTAGTCTTTATTATAATGGGTGCTGAATCTTATTAAATGCTTTCTCTGTAACTGCTGATTTACTTTTGTGGATATAATGTATTACATTCATTGATGTCGATATATTAAACGTTCTTTGCATCCCTGAGCTGAATTCCACTTGGTCATGGTGTATACTCCTTGTGATATACTATTGAATTCAATTTGTCAGTATTGTGTTGAAGATTTTTGCATTGATGTTTATCAGAGAGATTGGTTTATAGTTTGCTGTCTTTGTCTGGTTTCAGTTTAGGTAATGTTGGCAATGTAAAATGCATTAGTGAGCATTTCTTCTTGTGTTTTGAAAAACTATTTAAGCAAGGTGGGTATTAAGTTCTTTAAAGGTTTGATAGCATTCATTTGTAAAACCATCTGGTCCTGGGATTTTGTTTTTTGGAAGTTTTTTTTTTTTTTTTTTTTTTCTGTTTCAATTTAAATGCTTGTAATCTGTTTGTTTTATCTGTTTCTTCCTTGGTTAGTTTTGGTATACTGTATTGATCTAGAAGCTTATCCATTTCTTCAGGGTTATGGAATTATGGGCATACAGTTGTTCATAGTCTCGTCAAGATCTTTACCTCTGTGCTACCTGGCAATTTCTCCTCTTTTATTTGTGGTTCTGTTGATTATTTTCTTTTTGTTTTTGTTTGTTTGTGTTGTCATTAGCATAGCTAGAATTTTATCTAATTTATCTTTTTAAAGAACCAGCTCTTAGTTTCATTGATTTTTGGGGGATAGTCTTTTTGATCTGTCTCATTTATTTCTACTCTTTATTTCCTATCTGTCTTGTTTCTCTTTTTCAAGTTGCTTAGGTGCTATATTAGAGTATTTGGGATTTTTTTTGCTGCTTAATGTGGGATTGCAGTTTTCCCCTTAAAATGTCCCATAGATTCAGGTAGTTTTGTACCATCATTTTCATTTGCCTCAGGGTGCATTTTAATTTCTACTTTAATTTCCTCATTTATCCACTTGCTATTATCAGCATGCTGTTCACTATCTATATATTCATAGTTTTTCCTCATTGTTGATTTATAATTTTATGGCATGATGGGCAGAGAAACTACTAGGTACAATTTTGTTCTTTGTCGTGTTATTGACAATTGACATGTGTCTCAGGTTATGGTCCATTTTTTAAAATGTTCATGTACACTTGAAAACAAATGCATATGTAGTGGCTTTCTGGCGGAGTGTTCAGTAGAAATTTATTAGCTCTATTTGGTGTAGCTCATTCACAGATACTGTCTCTTTATTTATACTTTGTCTTGTTGATATGTCCATTGTTGTCAGTGAGGTAATAAAGTCCCCCAGTAATAGTGAGTTGTTACAATGTCTGTCTTGAGTTCTATTATTATCTTATATATCTTGGTGCTCCATCATTTGGTGAATATACATTGGTGAGTGTTACTCATTGTTGTATTAGAGCCTTAATACAGTGTCTGTCTATCTCTCATTACCTTTAACTGGAAGCCTGTTTTATCAGATGTAATTATAGCTGGTCCTGATTTTTTTTTTTGGGGGGGTGGGTTTGCCATTTGCTTGTATAACTGTCTTTCAGCCTTTAACTCTTAAGTCTAGCCTTGTCCTTGTTGGTGAGTTTCTTTTAAACAGCAGAATGTTGGACTTTGGTTTGAAATCCATTCAGCCACTTTACATCTTTTGACTATTGAGCCCAGGCCATTCACATTTAAGGTGGTTCGGGAGGCGTAGGGCTCATTGCCATTGTGTAAGGATTTTATAAGGGCTTGCCCTTTTGTTTTGTTTAAGTTCCATTTCCACTGTCTCATGCGTTGCTTCTATTTTTCCTTTGAAAGTTCTACTGGGGTTGGTACTGGATGGAATGGGCCACGGTGCTACTTTCTGCTTCCTCCCACTCCATGTTAAGTGATTTAGGTGGAGCCCCCTCCGTGTTCCTTGTCTTTTTGCTTTATAATAACCCCTCTGATTTCTTCCATGTACAGCCTGGTGTTGATAAATTTCAGTGTTTCCTTTTCAGCGAAGCTGCTTGCTGGGTTAAGGATTCTGGGTTGGAAGTCTTTTTATCTCCTTCCACTCATTCATACTACTGAAAACTCCACTTATAATCTGATTGGTGTTGCCTTATGGGTTCTCTTGATGTTTTTAATATTCTTGCCTTGTCTTTGGTTTTCAACAGCTTTAATATAATGTACCTTGGTGTGTGTGTCTACTGTTACTCTTTTTTTTTTTTAAAGATTTATTTATTTATACAAGAACTGGGGCACAGCCCAGATGCGCGGGAGGGTGAGAGGATTCACCAGAGACAGCGTAGGGAACAGAACAGGCAGATTGGCTGACATACACTGCTGAGGGGAGCAGCGGGCGAGAAAGGAGAGGTCTGTCAAGCCATGTGGGTTTCTCCCCAGCCAGCCAAGAATCCAATCGGCGCTGCAGAGGCTGCGGACAGCCTCACAGTGCTGCGCTCAACCCGCTGAGCCACCAGGGAGGCCCTATATTGTTATTCTTTTGTGCTCTTGAATCACAATGTCTAGTTCATTACCCAGATTAAGACAATTTTCAGTAATTATTTCTTCAAATAATTTTTCTATGCTTTTCTCTTTCTCTTCTCCTATTGAGACCCCCGTGATATGGCTGTTATTTCTTTGAAGTCCCAACGAGCTCTTAGACTACTTTATTTTGTAATTTTTTGGTCTATATTGTTCTAATCTTGTGTCCTCCTGCACTGTTTTTGAGCCTGTTAATTCTCTCCATTGCACTTGTGTTTATCTGCTGAGGCCCTCAATTGTATTTTAAATCAGTTCTAGTGTTTTCTTAACTCCATTATTTCTAATTATAGCTGCCTCCTATTTTTTCTTTATTCTGTTTTTAATAATTGGCCCCAAATGTTACATTTCACCTTTAGGGGGGAAAAACATGGGAGGCCATACTTTATTTGAGCCACTGATAATGCTGTAGGGGCAGGATGGGATGGAGCTGGATTTCTATGATCGAGCAGACCACATAAAGGAGAGTCCTGGAGCCCTCGGTGGCTTTCTCGGGCTTTTATTGAGCTTTTACATGTAGTGCAGCAGCCAGGTGGGGCGGGGGTGTCATCCAAGCCCCCAGCAAGTCTTCACTCTGGGCTCTCTGGCGTTCCGTCTCCACTTCTCTCCTGCTTCTGCTTCTCCTGGCGAATATATCAATACTGCAGCCATGGCCTACAGAAGTAAACAACACAACTTATAACAATGTACAAAATGCAGGTGCCCCATCAGGCAGGGCAATCCTAATGGCAGGCGGGCAGAAAAGCCTGAAAACCATTTACCCTACAATGCCATATAAATAGACTAGTAGATGGTACATTGATAGAAAAAATATTTTTTCAACCAACTTCAAGTAATAGAAACATATGCACATGACTAAAATTTAGAAATGTATGAATGTGCTGGTACAGTATTTAGAAGTCACTGGAGACATAAACAATTTGTTTCTAAAAGAAAACCTCACTTCTTATTCCTCATTATTACTGGCCTGACTTCTATTTTTGAACTGATTGTTTTCACAGCAGGAACTCTTGTCACTAAGCAGCAGCAGTGACACAGTCAAGGACCTGCTTCTCCCCAGTGCCTGGAACACAGCCGCTAAGTGCATTGTTCTATAAGGACATCAGAACTCTGCGGACTTCAATTTCTAGTTTAGAAACTTCTGAATATTGATTTTACATAAGGTCATCACAAAAGAAATGTTTTCAGCATCAGTACTATTCTGATGATTCTGGTGTGTAGGTTTTTCTTACCTCTGATTTGATGAAAAATATTTGATTTAGAAGTGGAGAATCCCCATACTTTGCCCCCCATGTGTCACAGATGAAGACATGGAGGTGCCACAGAAAGCCTTCGTCCCTCAGCGCCTCTACGAGGGGTCTGCGCTCACCACTGAGGGAAGGATCGCAATGTCTCCTCCTGACTTGCTGAAGGAAGCAGCTGTGCGTAGTTCTCCTGAAGCCTCTAAACCAAACGTTAAAGGCTCCTTTTAACAAGCCACTCTAAGGGCCTCCCTGGTTTGGCCTAGGGGGTTAAGCTCAGCGCTTTGGCACAGCGCTACCGCTGCGGCCTGAGTTCGATTCCCCAGCCAGGGAGCTAACCCGCACACGGCGCAGCAGGAGACCTCTCCTCTCGCACCTGCTGCTCCACCTTGCAGTGTACTACTTCAAATTGACTCGCTCCACCCCCTCCCCCCATTCCCACAGCCCCGGGGAGGGGGGAAGAGGGGGAGCCATATTAAGGCTACCTCTAGAAATTAGTCTATACAGTATGGTCATTGACAAGGAAAAATTGTGACCCACTATATAGAGTCCTTATAAGGCAGTTAGAACTAACCCTTTGGGCATTCTTAGTCTGTTTTATGTTCTGAAAATTATCAGTATTTGTTGTACAAAAATTCTGACTGTACAGTTTTGATTTTAAAAAAGCAATATACATATCCTCACATATCCTATCTTCTTTCCCTACTTGCTACTATACTAATGCCTGTTTTTTTTCTTTAACTTAGCCATTTTATTCCAGAACATTACAAAGTTCCCTTACCACTCCCCCATTGCCCCCTCCTGTGTTTCTAGAAATCTGTAATGTTTTAAAGAATTCTCAGCATGCGCATGGTGTGTGATCAATAAATGTTACTGGCTGACCAATTATTCAAGCATCAAAAATTTTATTAAGTTTTCCATCTCAGTATTATGGATACTTACTGTTAAAAAAATTAGTTTAGATAATAAATTTTACCTGTTCAAGCAAATATATTTCTGATTGTTTCATGTTAAGTCTCTTAATATATCCAGGTGATAATGGTTTACAGCACTTAGTTTCAGATATATAACTTCACACCCGAACAGTTGTATGTCCGCCCCTCCCTCATCCCAGCCAGCCTCTGGTAGCCCCATTCTGTTGTCAGAGTTGAAGGGTTTTTGTTTGCTTGCTTGTTTCTGAGGTCAATGTACATGTGGAATATAATGTCCATCTTTGTTTTTAAAGTTTGTCTGCTAGGAGTAGAGCTGTATCTGCTTTCTTCTCAAATCTACTTGATGGAATAGTTTTTTCCATCCCTTCGCTTTTCATCTCTGGAAGGGCTTATTTCCCGCAGTGCAGGGGCTGCAGGAACTCATCCCTGCTGGAGCCCGGAGTTGGGGTGGAAGGCACTGGGCACAGCCACTCCCCAGAGAATCTGCACCTTGCTGACACCCTGCCGTAGGGTTTCTTCCTTGGCAGGGACACATCACTGTCACCCCTGTCCATCCAGGGACTGCCTTTTCACCTATCTTTTGTAGCAGTAGTGCTATTCATTCAAATTTTGGGTCTACTTCTAGGTAAATTAATCCATATTTAGTTGAATTAATAATTTGTAGGTGTTCTGAAATGCACCTCTGACACCTACCGGAGATGACTTCAGTCCCATCTCATCCTCCTAGTCCACCTCACAGTGGTCCCGGGCCCTCTTCCATGGAAAGCTTCTGGGATACTTGCTAAAAATCTCTCTCTGGGTCCACCCTGAACTTCTGAATCAATCTCAGGGGTGATGCAGAGAATCTGCATTTTAAACACGCCCCTCTGCATTGTACACTGAGTTTTGAGGTCTACTCCCTGGGTGAGACAGCCCCACCATCCTCTTACAGAAGCCTTCCCAGGTCCACTACCATGTTGCCTTTCCTCCAGGCGCTAATGACCAAGGCCACGGTGCTCTTCGGGACACTGGAACGGTCTCCTAACTGGCCCCACTGCCTTCTCCTGCCTGGTCACCTGCAGGCACAGAATGCAGCTCTGGCCTCCCAGCACTGGTAGCACCTGTACTTACCTGGCAGCAGGAGCTCACCCTCTTCCCTGTCTAGCTACTAGCCTGACCACCTTCCAAGTGTGATTAGTTCAATTTTAAAACAACACGGATCTTTTTATGGGGAGATGGAGGGGAGATGGTGACTTACTCTCAAAACTTTTACTTACCTCATTTTCACCAACTCTTTAAAACTCACAATGTTCCTTAAGCAGAGTAGTATGACTTACAGAAGGTATGACTTATGGAAGGAAGAGAGAGAAACTTAAAAGCAGTAATAAGATAAGGACTTTTTCATTGGGTTCGTGTTTCTTTGCTGGAAATAATTTGAAATAGTAAGAAAACTACTTAACATCTAACCCAAACAAGTAAGAACCCTTTATACTCACTGTTGATGTAAACAGAAAAGACCTGGACTTATTAGGTCTTCTGGTAATTTACTATCAAAGATCCACTGCGAGCCATACATGAGCCCTACATATAACTGCATTTCTGTGTTCTCTGTGGACTGCCCCAGTTCAAAGACGGAGCCTTTTGCTCCATATTCCCTCACGCCTTGGTCTGTGCCTGGCCGGCCACCCTTGCATGTCCACCTCACAGCAGCAGTAGACACAGAAGCATAGCATGAGTTGTCGAACAAAACTGCCACCTGCTCGTGCTCATTTAGTCTCTTGTGTGCTTAGTTGAGCACATGCAGTGAAACAGTTAGACTGAGGGGGTCCAGCCCACTGTGTGAGCCAGGTCACAGCAATGGGTTGCAGGGATGTAATCAGATTGGGGTGTTCTCTGGTGCCACTGTTGGCAAAAGAAGAGTGGTAAGTGTGGCAGTTTCCTAGACAATGTAATGACTTTTGCTACTGTTCTGTCTTGAAGCCAGTGAAGTTCTTACACCTTAGCAGCATGACAGGAGCTAGGAACATAATTCCTGTAAGGTGGGAGAAAAGAAAAAAGAATTGGTGGCTTATCACATGTGTCAGCTCTTGCTTACTCTTTAAACACAGGAGCAAGAGTGCTGTCAATCACTATAGCAAGAGATGCTTTGAAGTGGTGCTAAAGTTAGGAATTACAAGTATTCCACATTATCTGTAATAGTTAAAAATGCGATATAACCTGATGTTCACGAGTAGGGCACTGGTTAAACATCCTGGTCATCCACATGGTGAGGCCTGTGTCCCTGTTAGAGTGAGCACGGTCTCTCAACACTGTCCAGGAGTGATCTCCATTAGCAGTTACTCGAGGAGAAAACTAAACCAAGGTACAGTACCATGCACCATAATGTGCCACCTTTTTACAAAAAAGGGAGGGTTCTGGGTGGATGTACACATTGCTTAAGTTTTCACCGAGAAACCATGCGATTAATGAAACATTGTTAAAAATTAATAAAAGGAGGTATCAAGGTAAGGAAGCAAGACTTACCTGAATACACCTTGATATATAGTTTGACTCTGGAATCAAGTGAAGGTTTGACATAACCTCAAGACAAATTACATCCACAAAAGCTCTCTCCTCGCCACAAAAAATCTTTTATATAAAAACCTTGTTACACTTATATTTGAATTCAGAATATTAACCAGCTCTTATTTTTTTTTTAATGGAAGAATGTGTCCTACACTTGTCCCGTGAAAAGGCCTAGAAAACAATGAAAACTCAGCAGCAAGGAGCACTCCTTTTGCGCAGAGCATAGTCTTTCCATATCATTCCCCACTGCAAGAATCCAGCGGTCCCTGGAGAAATACCTGGTTCTAGGTGTGAGATGAGAAATGTAGTAAGTCTAGAACATTTTGTGGCAGAGAGCAAGGACGGACTCAAAAGCTAACTGGTCACTTCAAAGGGAAGTAGTACCAGTCTGAAGAATTCGCAGTAGCCAGAGATGGGATAATTGACTACGGATCATTAAATATGTAAAAAGTCCCTGAGTCGTAATGGTAATTAAACCAGTAAAATTACCGTCACACTTACTCCTCCATTATTTCAGAGTTGCTGCTTGAAGAGCTTCTGAGAGGCGATTTGGATGACAGTATACTCTTTCCATTCTGTAAATTGTGGGGAAGAATTATAAGATAGACGCCAAGCAGGGTTCTTGATGTTTTCCTCATCCTCTCCTTTAGGCTTGCTTGGATCTGACCTCAGGTTGATTTTAATGTGACAGGAAAAACATTAGTTGGCATCATTCCATTGTGACAGTGGAGCTGAAGGAGTCCCCCAAGATCCCAAACACCTGGGCTCCAGTCCCAGCCCCTCCTCCACAACCTCAGTCTCCTACCTCACTGAGCCTCAGAATACTCAGGTCTAAACATGTGCCTTCCAAATCCACAGGGAACTGTCATGGCCCCAAGAGGCCTGCATCTGTGGGTGCTGTGAATTTTTCAGTGTCTTCCCCATTATTTATTCTTCTAAATATAGATGCATTTATGCATTGGAGGCTGGAATCATTTTAGCTAGGCGCAGAAAAGTAAGTATTGTTTGCTTATTACCATGAATTAGAAGGGGAAGTAACACACGCTTTCTTTCTTTCAGCCATGGAATTCCATGAACACTTGCACAGCATAGGCACCAAGGAAGGCTTGAAGGAAAGAAAACTACAAAAAGCAGTGGAGAGCTTTACCTGGAATATCACCATCTTAAAGGTATCTAGCCAGTGGGTTCTGGTGGTCTTGATTATCTTTTCTACCAGCTTCTTCCTTTCAGGGCCACACTTCCTGCGGGGTGCGCCACCAGCCACTGGCGAAAGCACAGCTCTGAGTCCAGTGAGAGCTCCGCCCGCAGGGGCATGTGCAGGGCACAGCTGGGCCCTGTGGCTTCGGGGAACGTGGCAACTTGAACAGTTGGCTCATTGTGGGTTCTAGAGAAGGGAGAGGACCTGGCCTTTTGTCCTTGACACCCTGTCAAGTTTATCAATGCCAGTTGCTGCCTGTGAAGTGGAAAATATTGATTACAGAGGAATGCTTGGGAACTTAAAGATGTCAGTTACTTGGACATAATTAAAGTATGCTTAATATTTAAAGTATAGCCTTAATATTAATAGAATCCCAAGAGAAAATAAGAATATGAATTTTCCTTCAAGGGAGAAGACATCTATTTCTGTCTCTTCCTTGCTGTCTTAGCATGCCCATTTAAAAAGTAAAATATTTGCAAGGTCAGATGTGGGTCTGCTAATCCTAAGCAGCCTGTTCAGTCACCATTTTTGTTATCTGCAGTTCTGCATTCCTATACAAGGTCAGAACTGTCCATTCAATCAGTTATAGGAGCCTTATGTTACAAGGTGCCCTTCAAATCAATCAACAGCAGAAAGCTTGATCACCCTGAGAAGGGTATGCATCATGAGGTATGATTGGGAACACCCAGGGAGCTGTTGATTGATGTATAACCCCAGAAGCTGATCAGTGGAAAGCCTTGTTGATAAGATTGGAACCATGGCTGGGGGCCTGGGGTACGGTTTCAGCTACAACACTTGGTCATCACACAGATAAGAATTATCTGGTCAGCAGCCTCATGTCCCCCTGAAGCCCTAGATAATCTAAGCACATTTTCAGTTTCACCCTCTTTGACCTCCTACTCCATGTAACTGATGCTGCATGACTATCCTATCAATAAAAAGGCCAGGATCTTGCTCGTTCAGCAGCATCCTTCATTGTGCAGCCTGCTCCACAACTCCATTTATCGGCATTGTGTTGCCGATGCAATAGCTGGAAATATCACAGTAGCAATAAGCAAAGGTAAACCTCGTCCTGCCACAGACTCTCCTCTAAATCACAGACAGGACTTTTTTCCTATAGTCCTGTGTATATACCTTGAAACTTTTCTGAGTTTTCTCTCACTGGTCTTTGCTTTTCTTCTTGGTGGTTGCGAGCTTGACATATTTCACTCTGGATCTTGGACAGCTCAATGTAAAATTACTCTCTGGTATTCACCCTCCAAAGTTTCTGCTCGGTTGAATTCAAAACTGTAAAGACATTATCACAGCTGCCTCTTTTAATTTCCTTGTTCCCCTTCAAGTGAAAAGATCCATCCCCGAGGCCTGACAACGGTTTTCTGACTTAATAAAAAATCGCCCTTCCAAAGCTAGCCAACTTGCATTTTCTCACGTTAAAGCCTGACTCCATTTTATAATTAAAATCATTTTCTTGACTTCTTCAAACATTCCCCTTCCTACCCACGTTTTTTATCTTTAGATCTTCTGCTTAGAATTTAACTCTGATAATTTGCAGCTCAGTAAACAACAGCTATAGGAATTTGGCTCTATAACTTGCTGACTTATTCCCCTCCCCACCAGAGGCGGAGGTGAGCTACAGATTTCCTGCAACCCTCAGTGGAAAAGAACACAGCAGTTTAACACATATGATAGGGACAAATGCTTATTTTGTTTTTATTTCTTTATAGGAAAAAATAGACTTAGGGACCAAACTTTCACCAGTCAGCTACTTGTTGTGGTCCAGGAACCAGCAGCCTGGGCATCACCAGGGGGCTGGTAGGAACGCAGACTCTCAGCCTCACCCCAGGCCTGCACAGTCAGACTCTCTCTCGTCACAGGATCCCAGGAGATTCTCATGCCCATTAAGTTTGAGAAGCTCTGGGCGAAAAGCCACCAAAAATGGGGATCTGGTGTACATCCTAATGAAAAACAGCTGACATAAAGTCATAGACCAAATTTTAGAAATCAGTAACTAAACCAAATAACTATACTATGAAAACCTATTTTATTTTGAATTAGGCCAAGGAGAGAATTAGCACCTGAGCCTTATGCTCATGGAAATAAATGTTTTAAGACAGGATCATAGATCTTTTGAAGACCTCCAGGGTTATATTTGCTACAGTAGACATGAGTGTGGTAGAACCTAAGCTGGGAATGGGCAAGAGCTGGGGAGATCTGTGTGTGGTTTCTGCATGATGGAAGGAATTTTTTTTCATTCCTGTGTATTTCACAGGTTTAAAATTTCCTGAGGAGAATCAATGTGGGTCTGACTTGAACTCCCAGCCCTTTCCTGGCAGGGAGAACTAGATCCCTCGCGTTCTTCTCACCACTTGTTTGTGGAGAGCTGGGTGAGACGTATCCTCATGGCCATCTGTGGTGTGCTGTGGACAGGGGCGCCCTCCTGAGGGGCACAGGCTGAGGGGAAGTTTCAGACGATGCTGAGGATGCCCCAGAACTCTGAGACCAGGCATGGAATTACCTGAGGTGCTTATGCTCACTCTGTGCCCTCTGGTAGACATGCTGGAACAGTCTCCAGAGAGGGAGAGCAGTAATCTGCTTGCTCAAGTTTCTTGGGATGCTGAGGCACCCTCAAAATTATACCCCACTGCCATAGAACGAGATCCACTGTGTCCTTCCTTGTGCATCATGTCACTCATCTGAACAATGGAGGAGGCAGGGCGGCCAGTCACCCCAGGGAGGACGCCGGTGTGAAGACCAGGAGTGACCGCGCCCTACGAGGCCTCCAGGGGAAGCTCCTGTATCTAAGGATGTCCGTCCTGAATTTTTTTAAAACTTTTTTTTTTTTTTAAGATTTACTTATTCATGCATACAAAAACCAGGGTACAGGCCAGATGCGCAGTAGGGTGAGGGATTCACCAGAGACAGAGCGGGGAACGAAACAGGCAGACTGATGAAATACACTGCTGAGGGGAGCAGCAAGCGAGACAGGAGAGGTCTGGTGAGACAGGAGAGGTCTG